GGAGAGCAGATTCCTGGATGTGCAATCAGGAGTTAAGGAGTCAGGAAAAACCTTTGATTTTTTTTTATTTAAAAAACCCCCTTATTTGCACTGATAGCATTATGACATTACCCCATCCTCCTAAAATTGATGTCATTGGGTATGTTGCTGTACTCCTCAAAAGATTTCATCAACGGTGTCTGCGAAAATTTTTACACATCACTTGGGAAGACAGGCGAACTAATATCAGTGTACTGGAAGAAGCAAAGATCACCAGTGTTGAAGCAATGATTCTTCAACATCAGCTTCGTTGGATTGGTCATGTTGTGCGGATGCCTGATGGTTGTCTTCCAAAGCAACTACTCTATTTCGAACTTAAAAATGGAAGCGTAATGCTGGTGGTTAAAGACTGTCTCAAGGCAAATCTAAAAAAATGTAGTATAAACACTGAAAACTGGGAAACACTGGCCTGTGAGCACTCCAGCTGGAAAACAGCCTTTACCAAAGGTGTCATGGGCTTTGAAGACACTCAAACTCAGGACGCAAGGGAGAAACATGCTGGGAGGAAGGCACTCTTGGCAAATCCACACCGTGATCAACTCCCGCCCGGAAACCTATGTCCCCACTGTGGAAGGATGTGTGGGTCCAGAATTGGCCTCCACAGTCACTTATGGACTCATTGTTGAAACTGTGTTTATGGAAGACAATCTTACTCTGCTACGAGTGATCGCCGAAGAAGAAGAAGAAGACCAACAAGCAGATATGGGCATTTGACTTCCTTGCACAGTACATGTTCACTATTATTAAAAAAAGGGGGGGAGGCATCCTCAAAACCACATGATAATCTTTTTTGGCTCATCTTGAAGATGAGAATGGATTAATAGATGGATTAAGTTTGGGGGTCACTTACAGAACTTTGAAGGAAGGCTTTAGTATGTTTTCTGAGACCAGGGCTGTGAGGATCTAACATCTCACTTTAGAATGATCCACCTCTTCTCTTGCTGAATCTGTAAGTTTCCTTCCTCATAATCAGTGTCTATTACTTAGATGTCTCACCTGGATATTTCCCTTGATGTAGGCATACAATGATGTAAAGTGCTCCTATGCTGTCTACAATGAAGCACCGCAAATGATTCACGCCACGTGAGCAGCTATTGTTCAAGTGTTTTCACACATGCTAAAACATGCGTCTTGAGTAATGATGAGTGAACTCCCCTTGACTCTCTTTGACTGCGTCTTATTTTTTTCTTCAATCTTTCTTGTGATTGCTTAAAACAAACCACATTCTTGCATACACAATTTACAATTATAGCATTTACTGTATTTTTCGCTCCTTAAGACGCACCCGTCCATTCGACGCACCTAGTTTTAGAGGAGGAGAACAAGAAAAAAAATATTCTCTCCCTCTCTGTGCAGCGCCTCTCCAGCAAAGTGAAGTCAGAACAGCAAGAGGGATCTCTGCACAGCGAAAGCAGCAATCCCCCTTGCTGTTCTGGCTTCTGGGATAGCTGCGCAGCCTGCATTCGCTCCATAAGACACACACACATTTCCCCTTACTATCTAGGAGGGGGAAAGTGCGTCTTATAGAGTGAAAAATATGGTACATTACAAACTTTTATATCAAGGATGGGTAGCCTTTCCCATCACCCCTGAATTTCCATCATCCCTGACCATTGGTCATGCTGTCTGGGGCTGATGGAGACAGTGTCTAGCAATATTGGATTGGCCACAAGTTCCCCATTTCTACTTTGTATAAATGTGTGTTGACAACATTCCACTTCCCCAGAAATGTTTATTGTAACCCCCCTCCCAAAATAATAATAATAATAATAATAATAATAATAATAATAATAATAAATAATAATGGCGGGCAACAAATTAATTGCAGCAGAAAGATGCATGGAATGAGCCCATTCCAAACTGGGATTTTAATTTGTACTAAGGTAGGATTTCCTTTAAAATCTTTTGTGTGTATCATTTAAAATTATTTTAATATACTGTGACATGTCTGCCTCATCACCACATGAATAGGATTACTGGTCTGGTAACTGCATAATACATGATGGCAGAATCCCTGTACAGAGGCTAGTGTATAAACGCAGAAGGGTACCATTATGTCCATGATGACTGGGAATGATGGGAATTGTAGTCAAAACCACCAGGAGGCCAACAGGATGCTGAAGGATAGTCAAGTAAGTCTCTGACCTAATTGAGCCAATGGCTCTATGAAAATATGCACTATTCAAATGTGATTTAACTGGATAACACAGTAATAGAAGTTTTTCAAATAATTTTTATGATTCAACAGGAAGGTCGGTTGGTTGTGGCTGAGAAAAGCATTGCATTGTATTTGTTAAATAATTTGCAGTAAACACACGTCTTAATTACATTAGAGGCTTAAGCAGATTTGTAAAGCCATTTAAAAAATCAATAGTTAGCTTTTAGGTGATGAATTAATTAATGGAGTGTAAATGTTGAAAGTCCACTTTGGCTGGCATGCGGTCTGACTTTTCATATCATCACTAAGCAGTAAAATTTTAATGTTAATAGCAGTTACAAAAATGGGTCAATTTTTGCCTGGCACAAAGAGACTAAGTGTAGTATACAATGACATTCTGTCGAAAGGGAACATCTTTTTTTGCCATCCTCATCGCAGCAAATCTAATATTGAGGTCACTGGAAGACTTGACTGAACAGGGATTAACCAAAGGTTTTGGGGGTTTTTTTTGTTTTGAAAGATAACATGATTAATTAAATTAGCTGCCAATTAGCTGAAGTGTAAGAAGAGGCACTAAAAACAATGAAATGGTTCACAATAATTATCCATGACAATATTGGTTTCAAATGCTTTCTTCTGTATTATTTACTGATTTTATTTGTGGCTCAGCACATCTCTGTTTCAAGACAGATCTGGAAGCCAGGATTCCAAAAATATCAGAAGAAAGGCTGTTCTTTTGCCATTTCTGGAACATGCAGAAGGTGCACTTGTCCTTATGGGCTTGCATTAGGTTTGTAGTTAATTCTGCGGATGGATGCAGTTGGGATTTGTCTGTAAAACAAGCTAAGTATCTGAAGAAGTTTCAACCAAACATAAAGACTACCTGTCTTTAATACAGTTGAATATAAGTGATTTGACCCCTGTGATTAGTATATACAAAACTATATGGTCATAATTAATTGCCAAACACTCCAGTCTTCTGCGCCTTAATCCTACAACAGTTATTTGTGTGTTTTGGGCAGACAAGAAATTGTGTGATTTAAATGTGCTCTCATGAATGGAGGCAAATAGTTCTTTTCATAAATAGGCGCACCACCCAGTGGCCAGCTCCCCTCTTTCTTGGGAACATGTCTATAAGCAAATTGTATAATACATTGGTTGGTTAGGCAGGCGGCTCAAGAACATTTTCTGAAGGTCACAGTAGATGGGATGGTAAACAGCCATATTTTATAAGTGTGTGTGGTATTTCAGAGTGAAAAGGCTCAATGGGCAAACTGAATGTTCCTTGCAACCATCACTTCATGGTCCTGTAGCCTGGTCTTCCTGTTTCCCCCTCAAGAGATTTTCTCCAACTGATATAATTTCTGGTAATGGGACAGGGCTGAAGAGAAAAGCACTGATGGGACAGAGGCAGGCTGCAGGGAGCTAAACCATGGGCTGGGGTGGATGAGTACCACCCTCATCCATGCTCCTTGTGTTATGGAAAAATCTTACCTCCCCCACGTCAAATGGATCTGCTGCTTTGTCATTCATGCCTTGGGTTCCAGGATCCTGACTGTCACAAAACTCCTTTACAGTATTCAGGTGTTTCGAGGATAGATACTGTGTGCAACCATATGAGTTGCATGGAAGAAAGTAAATGTAGATCTCTGGTATGTGGTGATAAACAGAGAGGCAGGGAGGGGGTGATTCTTCTCCCTCTTTTCCATAATGGCACAACAAAATAATGCATCTGCTTAGAATAAGAAGATCTTAGTAAACACAAGCTTCGGAATATTATGAGCAGGACCTTTAACTGCAACAAAGCATCTGAGCACTCATTTGATTCATGCTTCTAAATAAAAGTAGAGGTAATTAGCTGGATACAAATGAATAAATCTATGGAACCTGTTTCTAGTGGCTGCCGTTTACGCAGCTATCTTTTACTCGATGGCCCTTGTGGTCTCTTCCAACTCTATGATTCTATGATTCTATGATTCTACTAATTTTTGCACAGGAAGAAGCAAGGCATTGGGAAGGGACAACGCAGTGACACCAGCGCCTTCCTTTGCCCTTCAGACTGTTCCTCAAAGCTGTAAGCTCAGAGCTTCAGTCCCATCGATCTTGTTCTGCTGTTTCAGCTGCAGAGAATCAGTGGCTTCCAGCTGTGGCCAGTTCATCCTCGAGATGAAGATGTACAGGTCACCCAGGGTAGTAAAACATTAGGGCTAGCTAAATGTTTAGTGACTTTTAGCTGGTGGTGATGCAAGGGGTGAACAGTTTCCAGATGGTCTGCTTCCAACTGTTCTGCCCTTTTTACTCATCGTGCTGGTTCTGGTAGAATTCTAATTGCTCTCAACTGAGTTGTCACAGGGTGAAATCTAAGAGAGGTTTTAAAAAATTTCATTACTAGTTGCCCATACAAAACAAAAAGTGTGTTCCGCCTAAAGAACCCAGTGGCACTTCGTACCTCTTCATTATTTATGGTGTTTAACCTATTCCCCCTCCCCTACTGTTAACCTGCCCTTAACTTATATAATGATTGGATGGTGTATTTTAGATTATATCATCCAATCCAGGGTTTGGTTTGAAGTACCAGGCCAAGAAAGTTGGCAAGGATGATGTTGGAGGAGAAACTAATTAAAGAATGCACATTACGATGTCAGACGCTAATGAAGTTGGCTACACGTTACTCTCGTCATATGTGGCTTGTAAACTCATTCACTATGCATGTTCAGTTAATGAGCATTGCGAGGGTCAGTGGCCAGCTTTGCCATCTGCCTATGCACATTCATATGGACACTTGAGCAGAGCCCCTGTATGCGCTTTGGGAGAGCTCAGTCGATAGAGCATGAGACTCTTAATCTCAGGGTACTGGGTTTGAGTCCCAACTTGGGCAAAAAAAAATCCTGCATTGCAGGGGATTGAACTAGATGATCCATGTGCCCCCTTCCAACTCTACAATTCTATGATGATTATATGTACAATGCCGATCAGATGTTGTACACAGAGGGAGGGATAGAGTTTATTCATTGCACACATTAAGCAAGTGAGAGCTTTGCTTGTTGAGAATTCTGAAGCTCCCCTGCCAGAAGAGGAGAAAGGTTAAGGGTATAGAAATATGACTGCAAAGCAAATAAGGAGCCATTGGCTACTTCCATGCTGAGCATTTACTGTGGAAAAACCACACTTTGTTCACTTAGACCGCATCTGCATGATACATATAAAGCAGTATCATACCAATCATGGCTCCCCGCTCCCACCAAAATAATAATAATAATAATAATTATGGGAAGTGTATGGGAACTGTCATGGCTGCTGAGTGTTGTTATTGAACCCGGTTTCCCTCACAGAGCTACAATTCTCTGGGATGTTTAACAGTCAATCCCTCTTTCCTCTGACAAACATTTAAAATATCTGCTGCAAGGTGTAGTGCTGACCAATCAGTTAGGACACCTGTGAAACAAAGTGGAAAAATAGAAAATATATATATACATATATGTGAGTGTGTTTGCACATGCATATAGAGATATTTAAATATTCAGATGGCTGTCATATGGTAATTGCATGTTTTGCATTACAGTTTAGCCAGTCGCTTTTAGAGAAATTTGTGTCCACCATGGAAATGAAGACACAGATGTACTCAAGGGACAGTTGCAAAGCCAAATGTGAGCAGACTGTCATCATTCTCTGTGATACACACAGAATTACAACTGTACGTTCCCTCCTGCCCTACTTTCCCTTTCCCCAAGACTCTATAGAAATGCATTTTTAATCAATGTCAATTGATTCCAGATTAAAAGTGGCTGGGATGCACTAGATAAACAAGTGATTAAGAATGGAGACTAAGAATATAGTTGAGTGGTAGGCTTCACTTCATTGTCACTATCGTTCAGTCATCAGAAAAGTGAGCCCAAAGCAAAAGTACTTAGATGAGAAAAGGAATGTGAAAGGAAATCAACTACTAGGTGAACTGTACTTACTTAGCATGTTTCCAAATGGGCGTTTATTGTGGGATCGGTGGTCCTTATGCTTGCATTTATTGATTTTTTTGGCAGTGTTCACATGATGTCATTGGCATCAAAATGCCAGCCCATATATCCTCCATTTAATCCAGATCGACCCTTTCTGGGGTAAAATGATGTGTACAAAAATACACATACTAGGATAAGGTAAGTATTAAAATGCATATATTGGGAAAAATTGCTGTGCAAAAATGTACTTAGTGGGCAAAATTGCATACAAACCTACATTAAGAGAAAGTCACCTTAAAATGCTGATGAATTTTCATGAGGAGTTTAAAAAATATTGTAAATCTGTGTGGACAACATTGTAAACTGAATTGAAGACTGGGAAAAAGAAAAACTGAGAGAAATCAAAATATAAAATGATAACAATATAAAACAAAACAAAAAAATATGTAAGAGAAGAGGTTCAAACACATTATTTAACTAAGCTGTCATATATATACAGTTGTACCTCAGGTTACATATGCTTCAGGTTACAAACTCCGCTAACCCAGAAATAGTGCTTCAGGTTAAGAACTTTGCTTCAGGATGAGAACAGAAATTGTGCTCTGGCGGCGCAGCAGCAGTAGGAGGCCCCATTAGCTAAAGTGGTGCTTCAGGTTAAGAACAGTTTCAGGTTAAGTACAGACCTCTGGAACGAATTAAGTACTTAACCTGAGGTACTACTGTATGTATAAAATTTACAGTGTGTATGTGTTAAGGGGAATGCCAGTTGAGCGGCAAATGGACATATCAATTGGCCATGGTGCTTGTAATCATTCCACGGAAAGGGAACATCACCACCACCACCACCACCACCACCAATTTTATTATTTATACTCCATCCGTCTGGAACTGTTTACAGCTGAAAGATACACAATGATGCATACCAAAGACCAAGCATGCTCCAACCATACAGGTCTTCCTCAGTGGTTGAATGAAGTATCAATTTGTCTCAGTGAATCTGGCCATTTAGCTATTATGCCTGAAAGAACTGGTGAAACTACCACTCACTACTCATAACAGTCAAATTGCTGTGAAGAACCAAGTCAAATAATTGTGTCAAAGGGTTATGATTACAGTTAGAGCGCTGGATTCAACTAAGTGGTCCTGCTAGCAGAAGGAGGCACGAGAACTTCAGCTATCGAAATGGGGCTCCCCCCACCTTCTATTCCCCACCATACCCCACCCCAAACTGTTGTGGGTTGGTGTCAGAAGAAATAAGACTAGTTAATTAGCATAGGTTCATTCATTTCAAAGGGTATACTCTGAGTTCAATGTAGTTTGAATGTAGACTTAGCTGAATGTAGTTTGGGACATCTTCTAATATTCTTTTTATAAACATCAGCTACGATTATTGTTTGTCACATAGGTTTGCTCAATCCTAATGGATTAAACCATTTTGTCCAGAATTCAGATCTTTGCTATATGAAGCTGTCAGGTAGGACATCCCTTCCTCTTACTCTTTCGGTGACCTCTTTCAGATATTGCAGAGGCTCTTAAATCCTATATCCTTCGCTGCACAGGAATGCTATATATAGAATCGCTACACATAAGCATATCTATATCCTGTTCTTTTCTACCCTTGAACACTTACAAGAGACTTCCTCTGATTTGTCACTGTTGAGTGCCTTCAAACAGATGCAAGCTATTTTGGACATTTTTGAAATATATATTTGTACAGCTTGACAGTATTCCTGTACACTTCATTTTCCTTTTGACGTGTTCCCAGAGATACGACCCCTCCCCACCCTGTATATTCAGAAAGGCAAACTCTGATCCTTTCTACATTGCTAGTTACTCCCCTACAGAGTACCTAGAAGTCAATTAGTTAATTTGCACCAGCTTTTCATGACACTAGTGCACTAGAAATATTGTTTGGGTAATGTCTGTGAGTGGCGAAAAGCACTTCGCAGTTGGTGAATAAGGCCACCGTAACTTTAAATTGGGTTTATATATCCGAAGGCCAGATTACCAGCATAATCCCATGTATAATATTCCCATTGCACTGCGGTTAGTTTTAGTGGAACTCATTTCCATGTTGGTGTGTCTTGGGTTACAGAGGCCTTTCATTTGTGGCATATTGCTCCGAATGAGCTGCTTTCCTGCCCTGTGAGAAGTCTCATCTAAGAAGCTGCTCCGGTTACAATAGGTAAGATGTGATGGCCACCAGTTTGGATGGCCTTAAAAGAGGATGAGGAACATTCGTGAAGAAGGAGAAGGCTATAAGGGCCAAGAGCCACAGTGGCTATGCTCTGTCTCCACTGTAGGAGAGCACTGTTCCTCTCATGTCCTGCTTTTGGGCCTCCCATAGATTGGCCACTGCAAGAGCACTGAACCAGATGGACCTTTGGTCTGATCCAGCAATGCTCTCCTTAGGGTGTTAAGTTCCTCAGCTGCTGCGTAGATTTTTTTAAAAAGTCAAATTGATAAGATAACCAGCATTTTTTTGCTGCTCTTCTCACGCATAGCTGCCACAGTGACAGGAAGTGCATTGTGCCATTTGCTCTCTCTCTCTGTTCTTTGCACCTTTAGCCATCTCGCACTCATTAGTGAGTCTCTTGAGGTGGTCTACTTAACACCTCATTAAAAATATGCCTGGATGATCTCTTCTCTCTCTGTTCTTCACATGTCAACAAGTCATTTTCTGCCCTAGCCGCTCTTCCTACCCCCTTTGCACATGCGGCTCTTAGCAGCCTAATATTTGTCAATCATCAGGTGTATTATCAGGCATGATTTCCTTACCCTGTTGTCATTAACAATCTCCTCTGCAAGATTTCGCTCTGTGTTCTTATTCCTGTTGAAGGAACATTTCTATTAACGGTTAGACTTGGAAAGAGTAAGAGTGTTATTCAGGCAGTCTGAATTATGCTGAGGCCTTTCTTTGCAATAAATACATTTGAGCTTCTTTGTAATGGAAGGATCTTAAACATATTCCCAAGCATTTTTAAATCTGCACAAGCTAAGTTCACTTCTCTCTGTAGGAACGTTTGCCTGTCAGTCAGTTTCCATCTCCCAACACCCACTGCCTTTCCTGGACCCACAAACATTAGCCTGGGTTCTTCAAATATCAATTTCCCATGCAAGGAAGCGTTGAGACCCAGTAATCCCATGGAAAAATGATGCTACTTGCTACAAGGTGTACTGGTGAGGGCCTGCAAGATGAATCCAGGCTGTAATGGAGGAATAAGTGAGCGAAGACTGGAATTGTAAACGTCACTTGACTGTGGCACCTGCCAGAACTGATAGCTGCAACAACTATCAGACGACCTGTTTAGCTCTGCTGCATAAAATGGGCCCGGAAGCATGTTATCCCATTCTTTGCAAGTTTGGTACCTACCACAGATTCCCAGACAGTGTTAAACAACAATAGCTGCATGACAATTTGGCCTGCTATAAAACGCATGCACTAAACCCCTTTTTCACATGGAACCTTATTCTGTTCATGGGTCAAATTTGAATCCCACAAGGCGCCTCAGGGGAAGGGTTATAGCTCAGTGGTAGATCATCCACTTTGCATGTAGAAAGTCCCAGGTTCAAACCCAGCATCTCCAGGTAGGGCTATGAGAGATGCTGGTACCCTGACATCCTGGAGAACCATTCCCAGCCACTATAGTTAGTGACTGAGTTAGATGGACCAGTAATGCGACTCAGTAGAAGACAACTTTTCATGCTCTTGTCTGTACGAAGGGAAGAGGGTACACTTTCTGCTACAAAGTTTACAGTGTGATTGCAGGCCCTTTACACTGCACTACCACCCTGCTGAAATACTTTAAACACTCCTGCTCCCATATTATAAGTTGAATACTTAGAAAGAGAACGAATGGACTTGGTCAAGTATAACGTCTGGACTTTATCCATCGCTGCTTAAACTGGGCCTACCTGTGCATGT